GTTACAAATTTATGTCACATAAGGTTATAATCGGATCGTAAAAAAAAAGTGAAAATTAGAAATTGAAGTGGAAAAGTGTTGTGGGGTTGTTTACAAAAAAATGCAAGGTGCATGCTTGATACACGAAAAGACATCATTTCTTTACGACGTGTTCTATACCAACTCCATTCCCTCAACACTTGTATTATTTTTGACTTCTGTTTTAGTTTTGTCTCAATCAAAAGTTGTGTTGTGTAAATGTGTATGCTTTTTTCATTAGTTGTAACGAGGCAAATTTTTGGTGAAAAGCTTCACCAATCTTTAACCAAAAAAAAAAAACAAAAAACTTTACCAAATCTCTTAGAATTTCTTGATCTTTTTATTGAGTTCAATTGTTTTTATACATAACGTTAGTTTTTTCTTATCTTATAAGCCCGCATGTTAGACATATCTTTGGTTTAAATACAAAAGCTACTATTTGTTACTATAAAATTATACAAAAACCTACGGGAAGCATATTCCCCGGGCCCACATTTTGATATTATTTTTTGGTAATTAACGTATTAATATATGGTTTCTTAAGAAATTAATTTTCTAACTTGGGTAACATAGTGGGTATCTACGAAATGATTCCTTTATCGTACACGACTTTTTCATGAAATACGGATGGTTAAATACAAATTAATATTTGTATAAAACACGTAGAGACGTGTATGATAAGCGCAGTTAGTCGTACGTAGATAGAGAAATATACGAATCATATACTACAATAGTCAATAGATTATCAAAACGGCAAAACATAATCATAAGTCGTGTGTAAAATTTTAAATCTATATTATAAAGATAAAACAAAGGATTCCTGAAATGCATAAGTGAACACTATTTCCTTAAGACAGTCTTGTATTTTTATTAGCTATAGTAATATATGATGGTAACTTAAAATGTAAACAGAAAACGAAATGAAATATTTGAATCACTCTAGGTGGTAATTGACTTAGTAGTAGGAATCAACGATGGTTGACTCGGGACAAAAGAGAGTATGGGCTTTGTTCTAGAATTAAATTTTCTTTTTCTTGTAAAGAAAAAAAAAATAGAAGAAGAAAAAATTATGTGATTAGTAAATAGAAAATTTTAATGCAAAACACTAGATATATATAGCAATTTATTCTCTTTGTAATTAAAACAACAAAAGTTACAATTTCGAAAAATATAATTTTTAACCAAATTAAAAATGGTAAAATCATTTTCATTTGACTATCACTTCAACGGATTACGTACCAGTTATAAGTTATAACTGCATTAACCAATTTGTGAAAGGTTATATAAGTAAAAAATTTTAAATAATGGTAGAATAATGTAATAATCTATTAACGGACTTTGACTTTGTCGATTCAAAAATAAAAAAAAAAAAAAAAATTAATGAGCTTTTGATCAATTGCTTTGAATTGTATAATAGAAAAAAAAAAAAATGGCCCTTCGGAAATCACGAGGAAATCGAAGGATGTCCTCCACCATGTGCGTCTGCTAAATAACAAACACATACTTCTCTTTGCATTTTGGGGTTTATTCTCAATTATTATTCTCATATCTCAACACATATATCTATTATATAAAGTAGAAATGGTACGTAGCAAGTAGCCCACAGTAGTAAACATTTGTCGAATAGCTAGCACTGTCACGTGCAAACTCATGTCTTCGCACAAACATACACACACACCATTTTGTAACTCTTCCTTTTCGTCATTTACTTTCTTATTCATAAAAATTAGAAAAATCCATGAAAATATAGGTTAGTATGCAATCATGTTTGGATTTTGACAAAGCTCATAATCTCCTTATGAAACAAGATTACAGAAATATTCACTAGATTAGCTAGAAAATGAGAGATCCGTCATCAAAAACATCAAAACAAATTTGAGTCTCAAAGATGCTTAGAAAAAATGGAAACTTCTAGTTTTGATGTGCTTAAAAAGAAGTTTATATCGACTATATCGACGCCATTTTGATCCGAGTTGGATCTTGAAACATGATTCATAATCACTCTACAACGGACCCTTCATGCTCGCTATGTGTTGTCTGCTGCACCTTCACTTTGACGACCAATCTTCAAGATAATCTGCAATGAACCATCAATTGATATCTCTGCAATAGACCCATGATGCCCGCTAGGGAAGTACAATGTACCTTTTATGCCTAATATACCTTTAAAAGACCTAAGAAAACCAAATGCATGTACGAATTCATAGAAATGCTTAAATGCAAATAGTGGAAAAAAACAAGACGTAAATTTGATCAAAAAGGGGATACATCAAAGCTCTTTTTGGAGTGAGAAATGTGGGATTTATTGTTTGATTTTCCATGAGAGGCAAGTTTTTAATTAGACAGATATCGAGTCATAGCATCTCTAGACTCGTCTTTGTATATCTACAAACATTTGGTCATTTTTACTTGAAATTGGAGAATATAAGTAGGAGCCTTTCTCGTCAACATCCATTTCACGTATCGATTTACTACCGATTATTAAAAATAGGAAAAATATTCCTGTTTTGAAGATTATGTGATGAACCTGAATCGAAATGCGTATTTGTAATAAACATTGTATATATAGATACACAAAGAGTTTATACAATTGTACCAAAATAAGAAAGTGTAACGGCCACTCAAATATTTCCACAATGAACAAGAAATAAGGATAGTCTTGTCTAGCTAGGTGAGCCTATGCAATTTAGGCTTAGATACTATTACCCGGCAGGAGTACATGACTAATTAAAGTCTTTCCTATGTTTCTGATTACTATAAAACGGTGCGTTTAGGTTGCCAACTCCGGTCATTGACAATCATGTGAAAATGTTTTTTCCAAATAAATTAAAGGGAAGTTGTTTCAAGTAATTTTCATGAGTAATAGCATAATGTGAAATGTATTCAAATTTTTATATAATTGTAGAAAACTAGATTTTAACCCGCGGTACATCGCGGGACTATATTTTCTTAAAAAAATCAAAATGTAATTTGTTTGATAGATTATTTTGATTGTTAATTTTAGGATTTCACCCGTGGTAAACTATCTTTTATAAATATCAACCCAAACCCGTCCCATCACATTACCCGTTCCGTGAAATTAAACATCATTTAGTTATTTTTCTTTTTAATAATACTTTTATTTAAAAGATATATAAGTCAAGTCAATTTAAAAGTTTTCTTTTAAATGGTTCCCATAAGATATATATATATATATATATATATATATATATATATATATATTAAACTTGTATAGAGTTGAAATAATATTAATATTACAAACTTTTTATATAATTTAAATATTATAAATATTTTAAAAATATATGCAATATATATTTCTTGTTATTGAATAAGAGGATATTATGTGTAAGAAATGTAGAAAATAAGAGTTTAATATTTTTATCATGGAGTCGCAAGAAAAATCTTTTATTTCTATACATGTTATTGAAAACAAATCCTTTAAATTAGATATTAACTAAAATAAACGCACCATAATTACTTATTAAGTAACAACCAATAAATTTCACCAAAAAATAGGTAACAACCAATAAATTCTAAATGCAGTAATTAAAGAATGAAATATTAAAAAAAAAGAATATCAAATAAGATATAAGAATCTTAAAATAATTGAATATCTAAATAATTTAATTGTTAGTGTCGATTTTAATGCCTTCCTTAATGTGGATTTTTTTTTTTACAGAGAAATATTTCCTAAAGATTATCACATTAATGACTCAGAAAATTAAGGAAGATCTGAATTTATGATTCTCGAATTTAAATTAATGCCAATGGCATTCATCCGTAAATAAGGTGGAACTCCATGATTTATTTGCTAAATGTACTCCAAAAATGTATATATAGATAGTTAATGCTTAAATCGTAAATGCGTGTTGGCAAAACAGTTAAGAGAAAAGGTAGAGGAAACGCCTCAATTATGCTTTTGTATAATTCAATGTCTCCTCTACTAACCATACATGTCTTGATTCTTTAATGGCGTTGTATTTTTGTTATGAAAATAAGTTCACTATTCAAAATATATTAGGTGCTCATTAAAATATCGTTGAAATTACTCTATTTTTATATCACCATTCAAAGCATTTTGGCCGCACAATTTGCTCGATTTGTGTTGTTTTTTCCGCATCAAATGCTTTAGTGCAATCCAACTGATTTGCCTACAAATATTAAGGGCTCTAGCTGGTATAATTAATGTAATGAACAAACATAAATTTTATTTCCACCAACTACTTAGCTTCTTTTGACAAATAAATGGAAAAAATAAATTAAAAAAATCAATAAATTACGTTGTATAAATCGGTGATGGTGGACTATGTAAGTGGTTTACATTAATTAAAACAGCTACAAACCGGTTATTTAGGTCAAATAAATCAGTGTGATATGTAATTAATCAGCTAACTTTTTTACTATTCCCTATATATTAATACTAGCCATTAGTTTTAAGATGTTTTCTTTTATTGCAAGTTTTGTTTTTCACTACTTATTGTCATTTTTACATCATATACATATCTATCAGTTTTCTCCTATATATTGTAGTATTATACTTGTCGTCTGTTTTGGTTCATAAATATAATGGGGTTGGTAGTTTCTCTAAAGTAAGAAATGAATATAATTTGATTTGGTATACTTGGTACGTGCAAGGAAAAACCAAGAAATATTCATCTTCTAATCAGAATTGGCAACTTATATAAAGAAATAAATCAGACAAAGAGATATTTTTAACTTACACGAATTAAAATGGTGAAACAATTATGGTAAAGTTTTTTCTTCTTAAAATTTTATAACTTACTTTAGCGTGACACATTTCTCCGATTTGGTTTTCACTTAACAACGTAACAAAGTATTAAACAGCAATTTTAACCACAAAAACAGAAAAATTACCCATTTTAACCTTCAAATAAATAAATTTATTTAAAAACAAAAAAACAAAAGTTGTCGACACATCTTCTCTCTTTATATAAACAAATCTCACAAACCCCAAAAATTCATCAAACCCTTTCTTCACCACATTTTTTCACTGAGCCCTTAAACGAGATTAGAGACTCTCTCTCTTCTCTCTTCCTCTCTCTCTTTCTCCGGCGATGGTTGTTGCTATGGACCAACGCACCTATGTGAACGGAGATTCCGGCGCCGGAGACCGGAAGAAAGAAGAAAGGTTTGATCCGAGTGCACAACCACCGTTTAAGATCGGAGATATAAGGGCGGCGATTCCTAAGCACTGTTGGGTTAAGAGTCCTTTGAGATCAATGAGTTACGTCGTCAGAGACATTATCGCCGTCGCGGCTTTGGCCATCGCCGCCGTGTATTTTGATAGCTGGATCCTTTGGCCTCTTTATTGGGCCGCTCAAGGAACACTTTTCTGGGCCATCTTCGTTCTCGGCCACGACTGGTAAATTTTTAATCTTGCGTTAAAAATTTTATTTTATTTAATTAATCATTGTTTATCAAATTATTAAATTTTTACAAAAAAAAAAAAATTTGGTTTGTGATACTTTTTGCTTTTTAATTGCCTCGAATTCTTAAATTACTTTGAATGCACGTTCGATGAGTATTGTCGCTAACTTCAATATTTGTTCTTTTGAGGTTACTTTAAAATTTTTAATATTAAAAAAACCAAACACAAAAACAAAACAGGAAAAGAGGATCCAAGATTTCTGTTTTTAGATATTTTTCTTCAATAACGTTCCACGATGATGATTAGTCGTAAGACTCGTAACAAATATCTTTTCTATTATTATTAATAATTCCGCATTTCATGGATCTACGTTCCATGTTTCCAATTCTTTCTCCTCTAGATCTCCGGAACTTTTTATTAGAAATTAAATATTTTTATTAACTCCTTTTGTACCAATGTACTTTCGAGATTTATACACGTCATATAGAGATTTTCTTACCTTCTTGAGTTGTTTTAAATCGAAACAAACATGGAAAATTCAATATTTTGTAGTAAATGTGATATATTATGAATAATAATTGATGTGAAATTGAATGTGTAAATAATGACACAGTGGACATGGGAGTTTCTCAGACATTCCTCTGCTGAATAGTGTGGTTGGTCACATTCTTCATTCTTTCATCCTCGTTCCTTACCATGGTTGGTAAGTTGTTTATTTTTATTCTTTTCTACTATGTTCTTACTGTTTTTTTTTGTTATTTGTGGTGCATGTTAGCAAGTTAATCTGTTTATATTTATTTCCATCTTTTTTTTTGTATAGGCAAATTTTGTAATTAAGTTAATGCATGTGACTGTGAGGTGGCTTTTATTTTTCCACTCCAAAAGCATCAAATCTTTAGTAACCAAAGAAAAAGAATCCAAACTTTTATTAAATGCTGTGGGCCTATTTATGGCCCATTAGCCAACCTGAACTTGAAGAAATTAATGTACCTTTGTCTAATTAATTTTCTTTATATATTTTTTTTTGGTTTGAGATTGATGTCAGTTTTTAAATGTATTCATCAGTTTATCATTAAAAAGTAGATTTTTTATGTATCATTTTTACGAAACATTATAGTATTTGTTTGTTACTTACTTATCCCTAGTTATAAATTTAAGATTGTTAGAATCTGCCCCGAAAACGACATTATATAAACAGTTGTATTTATATTTAGAGATTAAGAATTAAATGTGTGAATATTATTTAATTGGGTTTGCAGGAGAATAAGCCACCGGACACACCACCAGAACCATGGCCATGTTGAAAACGACGAGTCATGGGTTCCGGTAATCTTTCCCTCTCTCATCTGTACTCTTGTCTTTTTCATTTCATTTATCTATTTTCCGATATTCGAATAATTTTTATGCTTAACACTTAGAAAATTCGATGTTGTTTTAATGTTTTAGTTTTAGTTTAGGCAAGTTGAATTCTAACAACGACCACTTGTCAGTTTTTATTTTTTAGCTGTAGTAAAAAAAGATTTGCAAGTGTCGTAGTTCAGTCAGTAATTGATTTTTTATAGGACCAACTCTCTCGTAATATATAGCTTTAATAATGGACCACTTATATTCGAGTCCTTCGCATAGAACGATTCTCCTCGAAATGCGAATACTTTTCTTCCATTGCTTTTCGAGTATTTTGGCGTTTTCGTGATATTTTGTCTAGATCTTAGAAAAAAAAACTAACAATAACAAAAAGAAATGCACATGCAATGTATTGATAAACACGATTAAATGCATAATGTAAGTTTCTACGAGTACTAATAATAGTTAATCATTTTAATTAAACGTTTCAGTTACCAGAGAGGGTGTACAAGAAATTGCCCCATAGTACTCGGATGCTCAGATACACTGTCCCTCTCCCCATGCTTGCTTATCCTCTCTATTTGGTAAATTTTTATCACAAAATATAATTGATTTTAGATTGTTAAGCTTAATATATGTATAAATTAATATTGGGGAATTTATTTTACAGTGCTACAGAAGTCCTGGAAAAGAAGGATCACATTTTAACCCATACAGTAGTTTATTTGCTCCAAGCGAGAGAAAGCTTATTGCAACTTCAACTACTTGTTGGTCCATAATGTTTGTCACTCTTATCGCTCTATCATTCATCTTCGGTCCACTCGCGGTTCTTAAAGTCTACGGCGTACCGTACATCGTAAGTCATACAAATAGTCATATCTTATATGAGAGCAATTTTAGATATCATTATGTTTTGACATAAATTTGGATTTTGTTTTCCAGATCTTTGTGATGTGGTTGGACGCTGTCACGTATTTACATCACCATGGTCACGATGAGAAGTTGCCTTGGTATAGAGGCAAGGTAAGTAAAACAATATATATGTTTTTGTAATAGAAAATTAGCGATGTTATGGATTAATTGATTTGTTTGGATTAATAGGAATGGAGTTATCTACGTGGAGGATTAACAACAATTGATAGAGATTACGGAATCTTCAACAACATTCATCATGACATTGGAACTCACGTGATCCATCATCTCTTCCCACAAATCCCTCACTATCACTTGGTCGATGCCGTGAGTGATCATTTCATTATATACTAAATAGTACATATTAATCCTAATAAAAGAAGGGTGGTGATTAATTAGTGATTGTTTAATTGATTAATGACAGACGAAAGCAGCTAAACATGTGTTGGGAAGATACTATAGAGAACCAAAGACGTCAGGAGCAATACCGATCCACTTGGTGGAGAGTTTGGTCGCAAGTATTAAGAAAGATCATTACGTCAGTGACACTGGTGATATTGTCTTCTACGAGACAGATCCAGATCTCTACGTTTACGCTTCTGACAAATCTAAAATCAATTAATCGCTTCCTTTTTCATTTGTTTAGCTCTATTAGGAATAAACCAGCCCTCTTTTTTTTATTTATTTCTTGTTGTTTTTAAGTTAAAGTGTACTCGTGAAACTCTTTTTTTTTTTTTTTTAATGTATTTACATTACAAGACGTAAAGTTTTGTTCCTTTTCTTTTATTTTTTAGTTACCATCAAAAAGATTTCAATACTTTTGGTTCAGACAAAAGAAAAAGACAGTTCCACTGAAAGTACTACAAAATGCACGCCGCTTGTGGGGTCCTTTCGTAACAACAAGATGTGTCACGGAGTTGTCGCTGTTTTTTTAAAGTAATGGGCTTACTTCAAGGCCCAAATATTATTTAAAGCCTCTTAAATGCATATCTATTTTTTTTTTTTTTTTCAGGCAACAAATGCATACTTCAGTTTTGTTTTCAGAAGCTATAAACTAAATAAATGTTTTCGATGACGCCACCGAAACTAAACCACTTTTTAACCTAATTTATGAACTACATAAAACTAAAAATTCGTCAAACAAATTATACAAACAATTAGAACTAGAACTTGGTCTAAATTTTGTGCATCACTAAAACCAAGCAGTATAACGTGATTTCAATCAATCTCATCTGCACATGATTCGTCGTTCTTAATCTAACTCGATAAATTCTCTTGCGAGTCCTGAACGACAAGAGCGAAAATGATGAATACGAAACTATACTCAAAATTGAAAACTCAACTAAAAATCTATTATAAATTTTCAAGATTCCACTTAAAATGATAATGATGAACCAAATGAATATTATTAAAAAAAAATTAGATGTACACATATTAAATATTAATGTGCTAGCCTGTATTGAAACCTTCACTATCTTTGCAACATCTACTCTAACCGTGAGATTTAAAAAAACTATGATATATCAGAAGAAACTTAATATTATTTGGCACACATCATCAAGCAAGCATCATGAATCTATAGAAACTTCATCAATCTAACATCATTAATCATCATCTTTCATATTCTTCAGCTCACATCATGAATATATAGAAACTAATCTTTTTCAAATCATAAATCGTTATTGATATATGAGATAATTTACCTTTAGATTCTTCTTTTTCTTGTCTTTTTGTCATTTTTGTGAGTCATAGCTTCTAAAGTTCAACCAAATGTTCAACATATCAAATGAGTTAATCAAATCCATGTATATCAAATCAGTTCTTCAAACAAAAATGATTTAAACAAATGTATCAATTGCTTGAGACTATTAGAAACATATGTTCATATAGATTCCAAATCCTCCAAAGTTCTCAGAATCTAAATGGATTATCATAATATATCTTCAAAAAAAATGAATCAATCACTAGAAACTACCAATTCCTCCGCCTGAACAATCAATTGATCACAAAAACAACATATAAACGACGCAGATAATACATAATTCATGAAAACGCGAGGAAATCTAGTGGATTATCAGAAATTGCTAAGCATAAATGGAACCTATAAAGTCTTAAATCAAAACCAGTTCAAGTATGACTCATACTAAACTTTTCATATAAGTTTGTTTTACATCTAAATGCTATATCAAATATTAGTCTTTTATTTTTAGTTCACTAAATAAATTAATGCTTTTATCCTTCCACTTCTATCTTGAGAGTATATCATTTGGTAATATCTCTTTTGTACTGTATTCACATTGTATTATATATATACAAAGACATATTTTATTTTACTGAATGAAGTTTTCTATTTATGCATATGCAATTTATATTACTTAAAAAAAAAACAAAATGAAATGGATAGTCATGACAAAAGGCATCAAAAACAAAAAATCTAATGAATGATATGAAATGAATAGTGATAATGTTGTTTTTTTAAAAAAAAGTTTAATCTAATGGATGGAATTCAAGACATATACACAAGTTTTTAAGCTAAATTTTCATACTTTGTGTTTGTTGATTAACTTTGTTAGTTTGTGTGGTTATTACTTATTAGAAATTGTGGTAGTTTATGGTTGTTATTCCCATTTTTTTTCTCAAGTTTAATGATATGATTGAAGACTAAAAAAGATATAGAAAAATAAAACGTTTGGTTTTGATATCGCGTAAGTTATAGGTCGAACTTTAGTAGTTTTGATAGTCGTGGACTGAGTTTATTAGTTTGCATAATTAGTACAAAAAGTTAAAAATTTGAATGGTTCTAGTCCATCAATAAAATGATATAGGTTACAGCTATTAGCCCAAAAGCAAAGATTTATACTCCCTCCGTTTTAAATTAGTTGTTGTTTTAGAATTTAAATTTTATTTCAAATTAGTTGTTATTTTCTGTTTTCAATGCAGATGTTTGACAGATTTTCTAATTTTACCCCTATTCTTTAAGCTTATTTATTGACAATATCAAATAAAATAATATATTAATTAGAGGTAAAACAGAAAAAATGAATGTTTTTCTAATACGAGTGAAAAAACCTTAAACGACAACTAATTTAAAACGGAGAGAGTATTTCTTTGCCGAAAAGATGAAAGCAAGCAAATGAATAAATACTAAAATAGTAAAGAGTTTTTATGTTTTCTTAACAAATTTTTTGTCTGTTTAGCAAAATGGAAAACAAAATCATCCCAAAGCTTATATGGTAATGCAAATCCTCATGTTAATTTCTAGACATTAACCGTTATATATTTCCAACCATTGACATCATGAACCACTAAAAATAGAATTCGAAAGTCAGAGTCTAAATAATGCTATCAACATCCATGGAAAATTTCTTGCAACACCTAAATCATGATCTCATAATCCACTTTTCTCACTACACTAGAATACAAAAATTGATCGAAACTCATGTACGGAAAATTAGAGCTATTAATTTTAAATATACCTTATTGGTTAATTCCTAAAATCTATCCATAATTTTTTAGTAATTGTAAAATAGTAGCACAATGGGTTTTTTTTTTATATACAAAATTGCAGACTGAAACATATTGGAAATTAAGGAACCTAAAACCAAATTCTGTGGCAATTTTGGCCCTTCTTTAAAAGCTATGTACCACACTTAATCTTTTAATAACTCAGCTTTAAGCCTATATAATATACATTTAGTGACAAACCACAAACTCAAACCAAGCCGATTACAAAACTCTGGGATAATCTATATAACTATCATCACTTACACATGAAATTACAACAACAATAATCAGATCACTACGACTCTCGCCGGAAACTGTTGTATTCCGGTAGTTTCCTCTTCAGCCGAAGAATCTCTAGAGGCAACAAGTTTCACAGCAAAAGGAGTAGCGGGAACATACTTTTGTCTCGCTTTAGCAAAGCTTGGAGCAAGAACATTTTGCAGCCATTGATCAAACGTTTTCTCTTCATCTGATGACCATCTTAAGGCAGCAAGAATCTTAAGGATCGCATCGTTTTCGATATCTAGATGTGTTTCAGGTCCAAAAGACCGATGAAATAGCGAAAGGATGTTCCTTTTTACGTTCTTAGCTAACTCATCAAAGTCAATAAGCTTGAACGTCACTTTCCCGTCTACTTGTTCCACGAAATCCTCAAGCCAAGCTTCCGTGTTCTCAGACATTGTATACGCTTCGTCTTCGTTTGGTTCTATCTCATCCACAGGAAGATTTAGATCAAGAAACGAACGTTGGGACTTAAGGGCTCGAAGCTCTGTAACCTCTGTTTCTGCCTCCTCTTGTCTTCTTTTATTCAGACCATTCTTGTTAACATTTGAAGTGTCGGCTAGTTTTATCTGAAGTTTCCAGTTTTTGGCACTGAGAACTCTTTCCTCGGAATATTTCACTGGTTCTTTAAGAACTTGACAATCACTGTCTTTATCACTTCCAGAAATAGTAGCAACAACTATAACATTTTTCATACTGATCTCTCTCCCATGCGAATCACGGATTTTTCCACTTCTCATAGCATCAGACAATCTGATTTGATCCGGGAACTCGGCTTTTTCCACGTTTTCTATGAACACAACAGAATCCGCCCACTTCACCACTTCGCTAGCAATGTAATCAACAACTGTTTTCCCTCTGAATCTATCGTCAAGACTGTCCTGTGACTTGAAATCCACACAGATGAAGTTGTCTTGGCCACCGCAGAAGACTTCAGCAAGAGCTGATGCTACTTTCCTCTTCCCGGCTTTATCAGGTCCAAGAAGAGCAAGCCAAACATTACTTGTGGTTGCTATGTGGTTTCTTCTCCTGGACTCATCTCTGTATCCACAAACGATTTCGCTAATGGCGTTTACAGCTTCGTTCTGAAAACCGACTTTTCGAGAGAGTAACTCCCTGAGAGACTTGAAATCTTTGCAGTATCTTGAAGCCACCAACGATTGTTTTTCTTTGATCACCTCAAAGTCTCTCCTTTCAAGCGATACAGGTGTGTTTGAATCCCGGTTTTTCGATGCGTAGATGGTTCCCAATCCTAAATCTGTCGTAACACAGCTCAAAGGCGAGTTCGTTGTGCGACTTGTGAGATCCTCTGTCTGTTTTGGCTTCGAGATCTTAACCGATAAACCAAGTTGGTGTGGCGGGTTCTGCACTTGAGCCATCCTAATGCTGCGAACACTTTGCTCAGTTGGGCTTCCAAGACTCATCTTGGACTGGCTAGAAGAAACCAGCTGAAGCGGGAACTGCGGTCTAACGGGCTGAAAACTGAGTTTAGGAAACGCCGGAGTTTGATGGATTCTTTGACAAATGTCGTCCCATTTCTTCTGCAGAGCCGGAATCCGAGAGACTAATACGTTTGGATCATCTTTAACCTGCACTGAATGAGAAGCAAATCCTCTCAAGATATTGCATTATAACCAAAGACATAATGAAATCAAGTTTGTTCACAAAAGCTGCACCTTTCCGAGACTTCCTTTGTCTTGTTCATGCTCCACATTTCGTAACCAAGAAGGTAACTTCTCCGAACACTGATCATCGAGACTCGACCCGGACTTAGCAAAGGCAGTGACTTCTTGCTCATACTTCTCGTTACAAAGATGACACCGAGGCAAAGTCTGATTCATCGAGTTACTAAACGGTACTCTAAAATCCGATGTCGATGAGAAAAACCCTCCAAATGGAACAAAAGATCCCATCAAACTGTATATAAATAACCACAAAACATCATTGTTTCAGCAAAAAAGATTCAACATTAGATACAAAAACAATCAAACAAAGAAAAAAACAAACCTAGATTTTGGATAAACCCCTTGACTTGAAGATGTAATAGGAAGAAGATGAAGATTCCAATCTTTATCAATCATCGGAAACTTCTCAATCAGCTTCAAATACGTCTCATTACTCGAAACACTTCCAATAAACCAAAGCTTCTCACTGTGAAGCTTCAACAAATCAGAGAGCTTCAACACAAACTTCTCAACCACACTAACAGAGAAAACATCACTAGTTAAAACCTTTAACTCTCCAAGATTCAAAACCATCCCTGACTTCAATCTTCCTAAATCATCAAACTTTACATCAATTCTTGATCCATCAACTAAAACTTCACTAATCTCTATACTAACTACACTTAACCCACTAATCTCCAGAGGTAAAAAACCAAACTTTCCTCTTTTTATAGAATCAGTGAACGTTTTAAGAGCTTCACCACCACAAACACCAACTAGTAATGGATTCTTCTTATCTTTCCTTCCTAAAACTTCTCCGATTCTTCTACAGTTCTCGTCGAGATCACCAAACGGAAACCCGAATCTAACCCGACCCGGATCAGATTCCGGTAGGTTACATAAAAACAGAGGAGGAATACGAGAACGTGAAGAAAACCGTGAAGAGAATTGAGACGTCACCGGAGGATGAAGCACGTCGAGTTTAATGTCGGTGCTTCTAAACCCGGCTTCACCAAAAACCCGACTCACAATCGGGTCATCTAAAATGGATAGTATAAAATACTTTAACTCAACTTTCAAAACCGACGTCGTTTGAGTGTTGTTGTTTCCATGGATTTGATGAAGATGATACGTCTCTGGATGACGTCGTTGAGTCGCTTGAGATCTTTTGATCGCCGCCATGAGTGAGTTTGACACCGGAGGATCTTCTTCCACCGTCGTTGTTGTTGTTGTTGTTGGTGGTGGTGGTGATTTCGAAGAAGGTAATCTGTCTAGAGAAACGCCGACGCAGAGCTCAAGCGCGCGAAATTGGAGACGTGAAGAGTACGGTGTGTTATGAGCGGCGCGTGAGATACACACTTCTCGGAGAATTGATGAAGGCATCGTTAAAAGACCTGAAACGGCGTGAAGTGACGTCGTTTGTGCGTGGCTTCGACGACGCGCGACGGAGACTGCGTCGTCTAATGCACGTGCTGTTTCTTCCGTTAAACATTGTCTCGCTGTGGTTACCGGTGTCGGCATCGTCGCCGGTTTAGTGGAAAATTCGAAATTAAAACTAAACCAAACCACACCAACCAATAAAATTCATACAAAACAAGAAAACCAAAAAAAAAACAAGACAATCAAGAAGATAAATCAAGAAACTATAAACAAAACTGGAAATGAGATTTTTACGACAAAGAAATGAAAACCGTGTAGTCGCTTTTATGAAAAAGAAATATAGTTATTTTTATAATATATAGTTTTTATGTTATATGTTTGTATGTTTCTTTCTTTGGTTTCAATCCTCAGAAGCTTGTGAAGATATGTAAGAAAGAAGAGTCGCTGTTTGGTGGTCTATTGGCGATGGAACCCACTAATATATTTTATTTATATTTGAATTATGAATTGTTTTTGTTTGTGTAATTTTTGTTGTTGTTATGTGTTACCCCAAATACTCGTGTATATTGAAGAAGGAAAGGCAAAGAAAGGCACATGTGGTGAGCATAGATTCTCTATGGCCCAACTCAAAGATCTTCCTTTGCTTCCATTCGCTTAAACTCTTCAAATTTTCAATTAAGTTTGGATTTGACAATCCACATTGTTATTCACAATTATTCTTCTTTTTATTATTTTATCAAAATGTTTTTTTTTGATATTCTTTCTTCTCTTATTCTTATCTAAAGTAGCTAGACAGAAAAATATCTATGTATGAGTGAGTGAGTATCTATGCCAAATCTTCTTCTTTCCGTTTTTTTCCAACTTGTATTTGTATTAACCAACTAAATTCCAAAAGGTAATAGTTCGATTCAGACGAAGTAATTCATTTTAAATTTGTTGCGTTTTTGTTAGTAATTATGTTCCTCATTTTTTCTACCAACTTTTGTTAGTTTTTTTTCTTAGTCAATAGTTGGAAAGAAATATTCAGAAATTTGGTAAATTAATCAAAATTTGTCTCATGGTTATTAAGTTTCTAACCGAAAAAACAGATTTATTATCCACATTTGAAAACATTGACTCTATAACAAACCAGAATCATGATACCTCTTTTAGTATATTATGAAGAAATGTTTTGGATAAGAGATGATCTATAAGAGGAAATGTCAAAGACTTTGTTCGTATATCAACAATATGATGAATACTTGGAGCATAAACGATGAATCTATTTCGATATTGTGTTAAGTTTCTTCTATCAATGGTTAAATGTTTGACAATATAAATTGAGGATTATTACAAAACACTGAAAATGGAGATGAATTAAACAGTGTAACAATCATATAGAAAGGTCATTCAACGAAATATAAAACTAAGACAAAACATATTGATTGCACTGTATTAATTAAACGAATAAAGATGCATAGTGATAGAATTGTTTTAGATTCAACAAGTTCACTAGTAAAAGTCAGTAAAGATGCAAGAGTTCAGAGAGATAATCTTTGTATACTTATCGGTTTTAAAATGTTGAATATCTATTTACATATGGCGATGTTAAAAATATTTAGAACTATACAAAGATTGTAATCGAGTACGTGTTTTGGAAAAAAATTAAACATAATGATCATGATAGAAATATTGTTGTTCAAGAAAAAGTTGAAATGATTTAATTTGCATAATCACTGATACTTTATACAAATAAGATTAAAAAAGTTCGATTATTTAAAATTTGAAACGTATAATTTGAAGATATATAATACGAATGATTAACTAAGACAAGTCAACTTAATTATAAGTAAGCATATATTCAGTGGTAGACAGTGATATAATTTTACTTTTAAGAGATTAGATGGATGTGATATGGTAAAGAATAAAAGCATGAGTAAGTGATTTAGGCCCCAACTCCTTTATAAATTCCACCACCACCATTTATATGCTTTTTTTTGTGTCATTGTCATTCAAAAAGTCTTTTATTAATAATCATGAAGAAGAAGAAAAAAAACTTCCTTTTTTGTTTTACTTTTATCCTCCACATTTTATATTCTCCGCCACAAAGGTCTCCTTTTGTCTTTCCCCTTTAGGAAAAGGAAATTTACTCAATGACCAATCATTATTACCATAAAATAGTTTTATTATTTTCAGGCCAATTAAGGACAAACAAACATTGATCATTGGAATACTGGCTGCTTTATAATTCAGTTATATTTTGTTTTCAACTAACCAATTATATGTTAGTAAATTTTGATTCAAATACTTTCTTTTTTCAAATACTTATTTGACTGCTTATATGATTTAAATTTAATTTGATTAGTAACACAAAATAACTATAAAAGTTTTTAACAAAATATTTAAAAAATCGATACCTCTTACTATTGAAGAAAGAGGCTACTAATTAAATTCATTAGAGTATCATACTCTTAACAAAGACAATGAAATATCAGGATATAATATTCTCAACATCCCACACTGTACATGAAAATAGCTTCTCATCTATATCATGTCTTATTGTGAGAGTGTAGTAGGTATGGTATTATGACTTCGTTTGGAAAAAATAAGAACGGTCTTACCGCAATAAATGATCATTCATTGATACTTTTAGTACAACACAATAAATAATCCTTTTATGTATCATCTTGAAATAATATACTATAAGCCAAATTTGTTGTTTAAAAGTGTAATTCTTAGGATTAAGACATGTAATCTAATTAGTTTGTACTAATAATCGTCGATAAATCACTACTTGGTTTTAAATTGAGAATGCATGTTGTTGACATAAAAATGTGTAGTGCACATTCTTTTTTAAAAGTGTAGATGATATTTACGTTTACTACATATGGCTTAAGTTAAGCCGCTTAACATCGGAAAACTATATGACAAAGGAAGAATCGAGATTGAAGAAAACGAGCTTTCTTGAAAATATGTTTCCTCTTAAATTTTGTTGGCTTTGAATCCTCTCTATGCTATGAAGTCTCTTGGTTAATTTAATATGTGTAGCATAATTATTTTAGTTAAACTCTTAGTTTATTTAAGGAACTCGCATGAATAAGCTTTCAGACGAAACAATATCATGTCTAGGATAACAACTTTGGATTCATCAGGCATTTTGCTTGGATACTTATCGATCAAGTCCCTAATTTTTATGATGTGTGAGATCTATGAATTCGAAGATAAAGTGAGGTGATTAGACTTGGTTAGGAAGGTTCTAAAATTTGATTTTCTAACCAAAGATGATATCCATGAGGTACTCAAGATGTAACCATTCGAGACTTCTATATAGTTTTCTCTGTAAGGTGGGAATTGGCAATTCATAAAGAATATCCTTCATCTATGCTAATTTTGGCTTCATATTTTGGATATCCTTGTATATTATTAGTAGATCAAACATTTTAGGGCATTGGGGGAGCGTTAGGAATAGTGAGAGAAACTTACAAAGACAAAGCGATTATTCGAGTTACAATTGATTGGAGTAAGCGTTACAATGGCATATGTTAAATTGTTTAACCACTTTTCTATAGTCTTAACCACGGCCTCAAGGTGGTGTGACCGTGTGAGTGATGGATCACAAGGAAAGTATTGACAGGAAATAGTTGTTGTAAACAATAATAGAGGTTTAGTTCATGGTGGAGGAATTGGGGACAGCGAGAGACATGGTTCTGGTTATAAAAAGGGCATTTGACCTTTTTGGTTAGTGAAAGCCTACAAAGAGTATAGTTGAAAGATCGGAATTATTTTCAACAGTCACATTTCGACATAAATTTTGGTCAAGAAAAGAAAATATTTACAAACATTTTAATTTTTATCCACACATACTATACTTTCTAATTTTTTCCTAGGTATTTTTTGACTTGAACGTCGGAAAGTATTCGAAAAGCACAAGTTTATTACAACAATGTTACTACTTTAGATTAGTAACTCAAGGAATGTGAGATCGGTGTACGATCATATATAGCAATAAGCAAAAGTGAGAGATTTCGACATCGGACTTGTGATTGCCAATAGAATTACGACAAGAAGATTTTTCTTTTGCCAACAAACATGTGGATCAAAGATGAGACGTGGCACAGAGGATTGTTACTTGAACGATGGAAGAGAAATGTGTATTGAGACTCAAACTCTCGACACCACAGATGACTCCACAAGACATGAGTCGATTCTAATTAAAAGGTATTCGATTTGACCCTTACTTTTCTCTATTAATATTCTTTTATTTTAAGCATCTTATTTTCGTTTCAGTCAATTCTTTATATACTTTTCCACCATCCATTGATAAATTAAAAAAAAAAAAAAATTCCCCATCAAAAAGAAAGTAGAATCTACTAGTTTCATCTTTTTGGATACGCAAATGGGCTAGAATCTATTAACGATCACTATAATTCATAATTTATGCATCAATATGTGGTTCAATTCATTAGGGTTTAATCTTTAACAATTATCATGCAAATTTATGACGATCCGTTGTAATATATAATACTCAACTCGGTTTCAACTGTAATTTCAAAACAATGACATTAAAATAGTTATTTTCGAACTAATGTTGATGATACTAAATTAATTTATTAATTATGAATATATCTAACGCTTGAGCCATTCATAATGTTAATCTACTACAATTTATGCAGAATATTCATTTCAAAATATTATGTTTATAGCTCCAAATTAGTGGAGATATTTTCTATGGTGAATTTGTGAGTGTATGGTGAAAATATCATGTGAATATATTGAGCTTAAAAGAAAAGTGAAAAATTAGTTGTCTTTATAAGGATTGCAAACTCTTTGTGTCAATTGTCAAAAGATAACGCAGATGTTTTATCTTTCTAAAAGTAGCTTGTTTTATATTAAAATCTAATGACTTTTTTAATGAATACTTGAGTGTGAAGGCTCCAGCGATTACGGATGAAAAGCGAATGTTTCAAAAGTATGTGGATCAACATGTAATTATGTCAGAATTTTGTATATATTCCAAGAACATATTGTCCTGACATGCGTCAAGTAATTAGTGATTTAAAATAAAATTAATAGGAAAATAAATGACGCAACGATGATTATGTTTAGAGAGAGATCTGCTAGAGAGAGGTGGAACTTTTGGGTGATGTCGTTGTCGTCTTCGTGACACTACCACGACAATGTTTGTGGTAATTGGTCAATTGTGGTGACCTACTTTTTTGTATGTTTTTCCTAACGAGTCAAAACTCGATATTAACATATTCTTCTAAAAACAACTTATATTATTATTAAAAAAAAAAAAAAAAAAAAAAAAAAAAAAAAAAAAAAAACTTATATTATTAAGCTTTCGGTTTTGATTGGAAGCATATTTTGAAACGGTTTACGACGTGAATCTCCTTATCGTTTTATTAATCATACGGATAAATAAAACGAATAGATGTATGAAACACATGGTCTAAATAGATACTTTAAACATACGTTTAGAGTTTTAACAAAGTGGTTAAAAAAACAAATGGTTTACGACAAAACGTCTTTTTTTTTTTTTTTTTTGGAAATATAGAAATATTTTAAGCTTTCAAGTTTCAAATTAGTTAGCAATAATTTTAGTACTAATGCATACTGGTATGTATGGAATTTATTAAAGAAAGCTACGAAAAAGTGAATGAAATCTATGTTGAAAATATTTACCTCTGCTATCATGTCCAATAAGAAATTAAAGCTTTGAATGGATCATGGATAGTGTGTGGCAAGCGGACCAAACCGTTAGTAGATCAGTCTATTCTATTTTTGATATGGACAATAGTCCGTCGCGGACCAAATTTATTTTTATATAAAAGCGGTCCGTACTCCGTAGTTGTTCCACGACGAATTTCTCTATTTTTCTCGATCCGTACTACGGACTATAATTTATGAATAATAAATAAAAAGCGGTTTAATCCGTAAACGGATTTATCCACCCCAAACGTCGCTACCATTCGAATCCTAAGAGTTTTCTCTCCTAGTACACCTATTATAACCAAAAAAAAAACAAACTAGTCTCCTCTCACCTTCTTTTGTTGCTACAAAACAAAAACAAAAAAGTTAAGTCAGATTTTTTTCAATTTCATGATGATGAATATGAGGAATTTACCTGAATAAACTGTTAACTAAAAGAATTATGATTTTGATATTTTCTCACCAAAAAAACTCAATAAAGGCGCACATTAGATTAAAAAAGCCCACACTAAACCCACTAAGAAGTCCAATAACAAACTCCGGCGTATGTTAGCTTTTGATCATCAAAAAAAAAACATTTCCTTTCTTCAACTACTCTGTTTTCACAATCTGTTTCGATTGAGGAAAAAAAAAACGATCACGAATATGGCGAAAGCAAGCTCTATTCTACTTGGCACTCTCTTCCTCTTCGGAGCCATAGCTTTGATTCAGGTAACTTTCTTCATATCCTCTCGAATCAGGATCTGTTCAAATGTTTTGTTACCATAATGATCCAGATCTACAATGCTCTAATGGAAGTGTCACTCGATTGTTTAAAGCTTCTAGTGTTGTCTATATACATAGACTTCATGAATTAAGAACTATGTGATTACTGTTTCTGATGTTCCTATAGATTTGTGATGTGTACAGTTCAAATCTTTGTTGATTTGTTATGAAGGAATTTGTTATTGAGGGTTTGTGGATTTAATTCAGGCAAAAGAAGATCTGAAGGAAATTACTAACAAGGTTTACTTCGATGTAGAAATCGACGGCAAATCCGCTGGTACGATTCGTTGATTTTAGTAAAAATGTTGTTCAGATTTGTTAAAATGGATTGTTTTTGTTCTCATTTGTTCCTTAGATACAGCTGATTCTTAGTTTCTTTTGATGTTTGATTGATTCTATGATTATGATTATGTCGCAGGTCGCGTTGTTATAGGCTTATTTGGCAAGGCAGTTCCTAAAACTGCAGGTAAAGTTATATGTTTTTGAAGTTATTATTGATCATGGTTCTGGATTATTTTAGTGTGTGCACATAAGAGTTTTTTAAATCCAAGGTAGTAATTCGTGAGTGTGTTTGCTTCTTGCAGAAAACTTCAGAGCTTTGTGCACAGGTAATCTACTAACTTTATTCTTATAGATTCACCGTATAACTTTACATTATGCACAATCTCGAAACAATATTACAAGGCGGACAATGAGAGTGTCAATATTTGTTTTCATGAACATTTTTCTGGAGATATAATGAAACTATTCAGCGTTATGATGGAGATAAGTTGCATTTTGTTTATTCTTTTCGGAACCGGGTTGTGATAAAACGCTTAAATTTGGCAGGGGAGAAAGGTGTTGGGAAGAGTGGGAAACCTCTACACTACAAGGGAAGCAAGTTCCATAGAATCATTCCCAGCTTTATGATCCAGGGAGGGGACTTCACACATGGGAACGGTATGGGTGGAGAATCAATCTACGGTCAGAAGTTTGCAGATGAAAATTTCAAGCTGAAGCACACCGGACCAGGTTGGCGATCGTTATTTTTCTTTAAGCAAAGTTTGGCAAAGTATATACAAGTGTCTGATGGTTGTAATTTGAATCGACACAGGTTTGCTTTCGATGGCGAACTCGGGAGAAGACACAAATGGTTCGCAGTTTTTTATCACAACTGTGACAACAAGCTGGTTAGATGGAAGGCATGTGGTGTTTGGGAAAGTGGTTCAAGGAATGGATGTAGTTTATAAGATTGAAGCGGAAGGAAAGCAAAGCGGAACTCCTAAGAGCAAAGTCGTAATTGCAGACAGTGGAGAACTTCCTCTCTAAACCGTAAACCCTTCCTTCTTCAGAAGAATATGATTTTAAAGTTACTCTTACGAGTTAGTTATAATCTAAACACGTCCCACATCCTACAAGAACAGAATCACTTTCAGTCTCAAATGTTGTTTTGTTTTATCAATAAATTATGAAAATTTGGAGGTCTCTTTTGTAATTTCGAGACGCGTAAAGTAAAAAATAAAAATTTGGTGGTCTTTTTTTGTAATTTAGTTAGGACGGCTTTTGCTTATATTCGGTTCCATATGGTTGGGACAAAAATTAATACACAATGCACGACGATTCATCAAGAGTAGGAGTAGGAGAACTGATTCAACTGTAGACAAGATTAGTACACTACCCGACGATTTGCTCGTAAAGATATTGTTGCTTCTTCCTACAAAAGATGCAGAGTCTACCGTGGTTTTGTCGAGACGATGGCGGTCTATTTGGACGATGCTACTGGAACTCGAGTACAGAGATACTGAATATAAACAAGGCCGTGGAAAGAAAAAAAGCATTTGGTGGTTTCTTAACGAGTCAATGAAACTCCATAAAGCCCATGTTTTAGAAACTCTTTGTGTACAACTCGTTCATGGATGTCCTATTGATGCTGAGGTTATAAAGTGGATCGCAGATGCGGTTGATCGCAAAGTGCGCAAGTTAGAGTTCAAGCTCAGCTGGTTGTCAGAGCCTATCAGCTTACCTGACGGGCTTTAAATATGCAATACGCTTGTCTTTCTTACTATCTCCGACAAGATTTTGGTGGATGTTCCTTCTTAGGTTTGCTTACCATCTCTAAAAATTCTTTGCGTCTTCTCTGTGGTGTACAAAGGTGAAGATGCTCTTGTGAGGCTTTTCTCTAATTGTCTTGTTCTTAAGCATTTGGATGCGGTTAGACATGGTAGGGGCAACTTAAAAAATACCAGTGTCAAAAGCTATTCTCGTCAACACACACTCTCTGCTCTCTTTTGTTCCAACTTGCAACACCAAGATCATATATAGCCCCTCGTCATAATAAACCAAGCCATAACATTTTTTCATATCAACTAAAAAAAGAAAGAAACCTTTAGTTTGATGTAATTTATTATTTACATATCATGCCATTTACAAAATCTGGCTTGGTTGCAAGTGTATATTGTCACAAACCATAATTCTTTCAAGTGTACAATGTATAAAAATATATATATATATATATATATATATATATATATATATATGGATTTCGATATCAAAAACAAAACTTGATATTTATTTTAGCGTTGCATTTACGTAAAATTAAATAGACGATTTATATTTCAATCATTGCATTTATGTCAAATTCATTAGCTAGGGTCGACTTAAATCCACCGTTAGTTTATGATGTTGGTATATTCTTAGTATGTGTTACTACACCTGTGTCTATACAAGTATTCAATGCCACTATACTTCTTTTGGTTGGTTACAAAAATTAATCGAAATTGTAAATGGATCACACACACGTGATAAATGCAACTATTGGCCTTGAATGGGTGGTGTAAAAAAAGCAGTTCTACATTAGTTCGGGTGAACCGTGTCTTTATCACCCATTCATCACTTTAAATTATGTAAGTTGCGTTTCTTTTTTTTAATAATAAAGAATTAATGAACCACTAGTGGTTCAGTTTTATAAAGAAAAATTTGAGTTCTATTATGTACAGTAGAAACACATCCAGTACCTAGCGTTTCTATTAAAAAATGGTTCTCCTGTTTTTTTTATTTCTTTTATATAATATTAAAAATTAAACAATTTCAGTTAAACCATATTATTTAGATGCAAAAGTTAGTCCTACCATTTATCTCTGACATCATTATGACATTGATTTAATTTTTAAGAAAAACAATCGTGCACAGCTTTTTCTTGATCAGAATCGATCGCACACTAGATGGGCCCATCACGATTCCGATCAAGAAAAAGCTGTGCACAATTGTTTTTCTCTCTCACTATCAGCCTAATGTGGGATGTTTGGTTCTATCATAGAAAAGCAAAGCTCTCCTTTAGCCCATCAGGCTTTTTTCAACAAAAAAATAAAAAAGTCTAGTGTGTGAATCTATATCTAGATCCATAGTTGACTAATCCCGTTCATAATTTGTACATATGGACAACTAACAAATGTATGTCAATGTATTTTGGTTTGAACAAAATAAAATGAAAGACAAGACCTTTTTAAAAAACATTAGTCAACAATCACAATCTCAACCTCTTTCATTACCGATTTGGCTTCAGAACTCCAAATCCCAACACCTCCTGGACGTCCTCCTTCCCTTCCCACACCAATACGGAACTCTACCGGCACAAGAGCCCATTTTCAAGCCAGTCTTTACCAAAGGAGGAATCTTTGTAAACTTTCTTCCCATAACATTTCCCATTTTTTTTCTTTGTGTTTTGTTATTTGGAAGTTTGCGTTTTTGTTACAACAATGTGATCTCTTGTCCTCTATTATAGAATTGAAGAAAAGAAACCCTAACCTTCTTATTTTATTATGGGCTTGGACCAAGTGGCTATGTAGAGAAAATAGAAACATTGGCCTATGGCCCTTTCATTAAAAAAAATTATGAACCCCTTAAACTTTTGTTTTTATAATAATTGCAAACATAGTGGTTTAATGCTTTTGTTTATTAACACAAGGTTTTAAAAACAAAGATAAAGTGAGACTACGTTTTGAATTATTAATTATGAGATAATTTACAAACTAAATTATAACTTGTAAATGAGTTAGTATAACTTATGATGATTAGTATTTTATAAACTTTATTTTATATGTATCCAAGTAGAGTTTGGTCTTGGAACAAATCCCAAATCCTTCCAAAGAAAATGTTGTATATGCACCCGTAGATCGATTTCCCATTTGTAAAGGGACTATTTTCAAAGGAGAGCTATTAACCCTTTTTAGTCTCACAGATTAATAAAAATTATCTATGTTTTTATATGAGTTGATGTTTTTTTTAACACCGCCTCTGGTCTCCGTAAGCCTAGACACAGCAAGCCGCTTGGCTAAGCCCAATAAGCTTCATACGAGCCATTTGAATATCACATGGAGTAATTCAACTAATCAGGAAACGAGTTATATCTATCTTTAAAAATTAAAATAGAGGACGGCCCATCAATAAAAACTCGGTTTAAAACCTAATAAAAATTAATAAGGGAACATAAAAGACCACCATTAGGCCTGTAAACGGAGCGGATATCCGGTTTTTTTAAGATATCCGTATCCGTATCTGTATATGCACTATCCGCCAATTTAGTATCCGTATCCGGATCTCGAAATTCAGGATATCCGCTCCGTTTATTCGTTAAAAATCCAGATATCCGCGAATATCCGGAAATAATGTTTTAAGATCTTAAATTCATTAATATCATACATAAAAAACTTAAAAAATTCATAACATAGGTAGAAGTTGACTATATATACAAAACATTACAAAAACAAAGAATCTATATATATAATGAGAGAGTTGTCTCTCCATGTAGGGTGTCCACATCATCATCCAATTCATCATATTTTAATTTTGTGTGGACTCAACATATTTTATTTATTAAAAAAACATTAAAACTATAATTAAATCACATATTTTGTAATTTATATTATTATATTTCATTAAACAAAAACAATAATTTACAAAATAATAAATTAAATATTAAAAAACAAAAAAAAATTATAACCCCTAATATGAAAATTTTGATTAGAGATTAGATAAATATAAAATTAGATGATTGTATCTTAACATATAATGAGTAAATATTCCTAAATGACTAGAGAAATGAAAAAGAACTTATCATATATTTTAATGATAAAAAACAATCATTATAAGAGTTACAATTATTTAGTAGAATAAAGAAAAATAAGACTTAAATACTAAATTTAACGAATAATAAGAAACTATGTAATAATAGTATTTGCGGATGCAATTTGGAAATTAGAATAGTAATGGTATATTGAAGGGTTTTTAATTAGAAGTAAAAATTAAAGATTAAAACAATTTATTTTAAAATTAATGATTTATATGAGTTTGTAAGTTACGAATTATACGAAAATCAACATTAAGAATACTATATAGAATCATAATATACGTCAAATTATATATGTGAATTTGTTTTTTGTATTTTCAAACGGTCAAGATAAAGTGTAAAATTTGATGTTGAAATCCAATGTTTATGAATAGGAATGAGTCCATATATGAGATTTGTTATATAAAAAGTAATTTTACATGCACCGAACATGGTCAAAGAAACTTTATGACAAATATCTCCCAAGATTTTCTAATGCTCATTTTAATAAAAAGATAATGCAACTTATAAAAAAAAATTTGAGTATTGAAATATATGAATGAGAAAATATATACGATCTATCTTGAGAACTAATTCATAGTCGAGTATATTATATGTGAGCCAATATAAAAGGTGAAAAGAGAGCAAATGTCGGGAGATGACGAGTGAATAATAGAAGATAACAAGAAAAATTGTACTGAAAAGTGTGAAAAAATATTTACTACTATGGAAAGATAATGAAAATGAGTAAAATAAAACTTTTTAAAATTCAAATAATTCAAATATTCGTATTGATAAAAAATTAAAATTAAAATCTCGCGCAATGCGCGGATACATAATCTAGTTTATTAAAGTAGCAAAAAATTTAAAAGATTCAAGTGATGTTCTTAAAAAAAAAAGAGACATTAATCAACTTCTTAAATTCTTCTTAGAAATTTATTTTTATTTTTTGTCATATGATTTATTTATTAACATTGAAAATAAAAATAAAAACAATTAAAAAAGTTGGGCTGACAAGTCTAGTGTGTGAATCCATATCTTGATCCTTGTGATAGTTATATCCATAAGATTTGTTGATATAATTAAATGAAATTTCTAATGGTCTTTATAAATGGACCTAGAAGGCATAGAAATGCATATGAAGGTTTTTATTGGACTTATTATCAATTCTTTGTCTTTATGTTGTCAAGCACTCAAGAGAATTTTTGAAATTGTTGTTTAGATGTAATTCCAACAAGGATTAAGGGAAATAGGGAATGAGCCATTTTTGGTATATTGGACTTACTATTCTTTGTTCTTATGTTAACCCAAAATTTATCTGAAAGTCTGAATTGTAGTTGGGTGGATGGCTTAAATTTTGATATTTTACCATCAAA